GGTCAGTTTTATAACGTAGGTTCATTTTTTTAAATTAATTAATTTAATGAATTGTAATACTTATGTGTGTATAATACAAAAAAGAGAATATTTTATTGCTTCTAACTGTCACGCCCCTGGACTGTCTGTGTGTGTTTTTGCTCCCCATGTGCTCCGTGACCTATTTTTCCCTCGTGTTTGATTGTTCATTGCTCCCAGGTGTGTCTTGTCAATTACCTTGTTAAGTTGTGTATTTAAAGTGTAGTCTGCCCCATGTTTTCTTGTCGGGTCTTAAAAGTCTATCCCCGTTGTGCTACCTGTGTGTTCCTGCCCTGTATTCCTTGTTCCTGTGGATTATTAAAGACTGTGTTTGTGTTCATCCCGCGACTCCTCATTCCTCTTGCCTCGCTGTAGTGCAACCGTGACAGAAGACCCAACCAACGGGTTTTGTTTCCATTGTTTGTACAGTGTTTTTTCCCCATTTTTCCAATGGATCCCTTCGACCCCTTATCCCGTCCTGAATATCTCCTCCTCCTGCTGGAGCAGGGGGAGAGATTGCTCGAGGACCATACCGGACTGTTTCTGGCCATCGCCCATCTCACCAGCAACCTGAAAGACATGCTCTGTGCGTTCTATGATGCCAGCTTGAACCTCACGTGCAGAGCGCCGTCGTCCGAACATGGTCCTCGAGCGGATTTCGCCACCTTTGTGGAGTGGATACTGGCGAGAAACGGATCCCCGTTCACCGTTCGTTCCGAGGAGGATCTCGCCAGTTCCACACCGGACCCAGAGCCCAGCATACCTTCACCTCACTGTGCGGAGCTCAAGCCCGAGCCCACCGCTGATGGAGAGCCTGAGACCGCTGCAACCGACGAGCAAGATCGCGGAGAGGAGCTCTGCCCACTGCACCATGTCTGAGGGTGAGCTATTTATGGATCTGGGTGAATGGAAAGCGGAGAGAGACCTTATTTAGACTTGCGGACTGACCTGCCCCCTCTCCTCCCTCCTTTGTCAGAGCCCTCTGTCACTCTTGTTTCCAAGTCCAGCCCAAGGAGGGCTCCTGTTCCCAAGTCAAGCCCTGAGAGAGACTGTTCCCAAGCTAAGCCCAGAGAGGGCTCCTGTTCCCAAGTCCAGCCCAGAGGCTCACAAATGCCCGCCCAACCGCCCACTCCTGCCTCCTCCCCCACTGTCGTCTGGCAGCCCCTCTGCTCACCCTCAGCCCACTATCTGTGTGGTGGGATCACCGCGAGTCTGCCAGTCTCCATTCGCTGTTTCCACCTCCAGCCTTAGAGTCCAGGACTCCGCCTCGGCCCGTCGACCCAGCGGCTCCACCATGGCTCCTAGCTCCCTCCTCTCAGCCATGGCCCGGCAGTCCACTGGCTCCGCTGGGCTCCCTCGTCCCACCGGCTCCACCTTGGTCTGTCGTCGACTATCCGTCGCCTCAGGACTCCACTCCTCCGGCTGTGCCTCGTCCCTCCATCCCTCCGGCTCCTCCTTCCCTTCGGCTGCTCCTTGGTCCTCTGTCATTCCAGCTCCACCGCAGCCTTCCGGAGCCCCGACTCCGCATCGGTCGCCTGAGCCATCTGCTCTGCCTCGGCCCTCCTCATCACCCTGGCTCATCGGCTCTCCGTCTCCTCCGCCTCCATCGGTCGGAGCCCTGGAGTCGTCAGCCCTTCCTCCTCCATGGCTCCTCCCTCCGTCAGCTCCTCCGTGGGTCGCCGTTATGGCTGTGGCCTGGGTCCCGCCTGGGTCCTCCAGCTCCAAGTCCTTCCTGTCTCCTCCCTCCATCATCACCCCCATGGACTCTGTCTGCCGTTCTCCTCCTGGTTATCCGTCCTCCTCCTGAACCTCCACCAGTTTCCTTTACCGGATTTCCTGCCAGCCCTTTGCCATCCCCTGTTTCCATCCCACTTCCACTCCTTTGTCCTCCTCCTAAGTCCCCCACCATCCCACCCTTTGTTGTTTCCGGGAGGGGGGTGATATGTCATGCCCCTGGACTGTCTGTGTGTGTTTTTGCTCCCCCATGTGCTCCGTGACCTAGTTTTCCCTTGTGTTTGATTGTGTCTTGTCAATTACCTTGTTAAGTTGTGTATTTAAAGTGTAGTCTGCCCCATGTTTTCTTGTCGGGTCTTAAACGTCTATCCCCGTTGTGCTACCTGTATGTTCCTGCCCTGTATTTCTTGTTCCTCTGGATTATTAAAGACTGTTTGTGTTCATCCCGTGACTCCTCGTTCCTCGCTGTAGTGCAACCGTGACACTAACTGACCTAGCTTGTTAAATAACACACAAAACTAGCACTACACAAAAATAAAAAAACAAATTTTACAGAACCTTCATATTGGTTTTTGATTATTCATAGATAGCATTTAATAGGTTACACTTTCATTAAAAGGTGTATTTTTGCATGTTTTTGTTACATTTTTCTGTGTGAGAACATGGGCCATTTCTCAATATGCGTTCTTAAGCGATCTTGTGTTCTTGTGTTCTCGCTCTACGTCATCATTAACCATTGAAGTTCAATTCCAATATTCAAGAACGCAAGTACAGACGATGCTTGTGAGTGCCCAGATGTGTTCTTGATATCGAGGATGCATCGCATGCAGACTTGAGAGAACTGAACCAGTCCCAGAAGACGCTGCGTGCGGACGACGTACGGAAGCCTGTAGGCTTTTAAACTTCTCACTGCAAGCCTGTAAATACGCGACGGCTCATGAAAGTAAACATTGTCATTTTGTTTTGCATAATTTTAATAAAGTGATAAAGACCTGAAAAAAAGCCTGTCATACTTTTCTATTGGTATATTTTTTTAACATTGATAATTTTAACATTGACAAAATATAGCTAACATTAAATATACATGCCTTAAAGGGGTCATATGATGCGATTTCGGCTCACACGGTGCGATTTTGGCCACGATTTGGTCATCTGAGACTAATTTTGAAAATCCTAAAAGATTCCTATAATCCTAGGCTAAAATCTGTAGTCTTTGATCATTAGATTGACATGTTCACCTACAGCCGATTAATGGCTGTTGCAATCAAATTTCACCCCCGACGAACTTCTGGCAGTGTCCGAAGATTTGACACCTAGTCCTGCAGTGTGATTTCTCCTACGACGAATGTCAAACTGTCTTTGTTTTTCAAGACAAGCCATGATCAGAATAAATTCCTTAAGTTGACAATTTAATGTGCTGCATTATTTTGCTCATTGCGCCCTCCTGTGGCCTCGGGAGACAAGCCAAAAGTTTAACCTATTTAATCTGCATATAAAACATAAGAAATTAGATATTTGTTTAATTTTAATTTTGTTTTTGACTGTTAAAACAAAAAAATAATTGTTGTTTTTCTCAATAAATTGAGTTAATTTAAAAATACAGTGGTTAAATGTGAAAAAAAATTATATTGCTTTGTTTTAAAAACGGTTATAAAAAATGTCAATAATTATCAATACCGAACGATATGAAACATTATATCGTTGATACATTTTTTTAGCTATATCGCCCAGCCCTATATATATATATATAGAGAGAGAGAGAGAGAGAGAGAGAGACAAGGGATGGATGACGATTTTTTTAGAATATTCGATTAGTGATTTAAATATAGAATATCAAATTGGTTGTGCAATTATTGTCTAAAAAAAAAAGATTCCCATGTTTTAGGTGCTGATGCCTTGGTTTATGTAACCAGAGGGTGGGGCCGCCAATAACTCACCTAAAAGTTGTCAAAGACAACAGAAGAAGAACACATTGTCTCACGCGCACACTGTAGACTTGTGTGGCATATAAGGTCACTTGGGACAATGTCAAATAACAGTTCTGTGTGGAGCTCTTATAATAAAATTAATGAAAATGAAGTGCAGTGCAAACTCTGCCATGCGAAGCTTGTTTATCATAGGTCAACCACTACAATGCACAGTCATTTGAGGGCGAAGCACTCGGCAGGTCCATCAACAGATCAGCAGCAATCAGTGGCTAGTTTCATGGTCAGGACAACCAAGTTGGATGCTAGACGGTCAGAGCAAACAACGGCCCACATCACTAAGATGATCGCTAAAGATATGCTTCCATTCAGCTTTGTAGAAGGAGAGGGTTTTAGAAAGCTTATAGTGTTTGTTGAGCCCGAGTTTACTGTCCTGTCTAGAAAAACGATCACTGCCAGACTGGAGAAACTTTTTGATGACAATGTAAAGGAGCTGCGCAGACAATTAGCGAGTGTTGAAAAAATGACACTGACCACAGATTCATGGACAGCGCTTACAACTGAATCGTACATCATGGTCACCTGTCACTATATAGTTAATTGGGAAATTCACAGTGCTGTTCTGCAGACCAAAGCCATGCCAGAGCAGCATACTGCTGAAAATGTGGCAAATATGCTTTTCACCGCTATGGACCACTGGGGACTAAGCAGAAAAATCACTGCATGCGTGCATGACAATGCGAGCAACATGGTGCTTGCCAACACTGAACTGTTAGAGTGGGACTCTCAGCCTTGTTTTGCACACACACTCCAACTCGCTACAAATGACAGTTTCAAGCTTCAACACATAAACCATGTCGTTGCATCTGCCAGTCATCTTGTTTCTCATTTCCATCACAGCACAACTGCAGCACAAGCGCTGAAACAAAAGCAGCAACTGCAGAACTTGCAATTGCACAAATTAGTGCAGTACTATGCAGTTCTACTGTAGGTGGAATTCTATTCATAACATGTTCGAGCGCTTACTCGAACAAAGATGGGCAATATCTGCAGTCTTATCAGACAAGAGCTTTCACTAAACTATCAGATGCACGAACCCTCGAACTGACTGATGATAGCTGGGGAGTTATGGAGGAACTCTTACCAGTGCTTCACTCACTTAAATGTGCCACCAATGCCTTGTGTGGAGAATCCGGAGTATCCATTTCCATGGTTTACCTGGTGACAGCAACTCTTCTGTCAAAACACCTCAAAGAAATCCCAGGAGAGTCTCCCAAAGTCTCTGAGTTCAAGCAAACAGTGTCTACTTCACTGGAGCGGAGACTAGCGCCTGCAGATGTCAGCAGCGCTTGCAAGGTTGCACACTTTGCATCCTTCCTGGATCCTAGACACAAACACCTGAGGGTCACAACTGAGGAAGTTAGGGGCCATTCACATATCACGTTTTTTGCGCGCTCAAGTTCGTTATTTCAAATGTAGACATGCGGCAGGCACGCTCATAATGGAAGCGACATGGTCGCGACGCGCTAATTTTTTCCAGGCACCCACATCCAGATAAAAACATTTCAACTTTTCAGAATGTCGCAAGCACACCGGGGGTCATGTGACATGAATCAACCAATCAGCTTCATCCTTTCCCTAACAACATTGAAAGCTCAGCCAAGATGAAGGAACAGCTGGTCATAGCTGTACAGGATAGACATTTTTAAATAAATTTAGTAGCAGAGCTACTGCAAGCGATTTTTAGTGCTGCAAATCCATTTAACCTTTGCTGCAACTTCCGCGTCTTCATGAGGTGCGCAGGTAATGGTTGCTTAGCAATGGCAGACGCCTCTGGAGCGCAAGCGCCCGAACGCTTTGGGGGGAAAGCAGAAAGCGGCACGCAATCGTGATAACTATATGCGCGCGAGGAAGATTTCGGCGGGAAAGTTTATTGAGAGCTTTCGTAAGCCTGACGAAAAACATTCATACAGCACGGTCAATGCATGTGATCGGGTCAAATTTGTCTCTTTGCCAAGCTAAAATATTTTTAGTAACAAAATTAAGACATATTATTTATGCTAAATAGACCAAGATTTAAGTGTCACATTTAGCCACAGGTGAAATCGAGTCTGTTCGCTTCAGGCATTTCGTATTTATCACTTATCATCATGTACATGTAGGCTATTTGTAATCGTTCAGATGAAAGATGTAGGAGCTAAGCAGGAGCTAAGAAAAAATAGGAACTGGATGTAGTGTGTGGTTTAAGCCTTCATGTGTTTGATGAGCTCTCACATCTTAATGTCCAAGTCTGTGGCTCACTCCATATTTCACACTCTCTCTGATATGGCAGCTAATACCTGAAACCCGGTCTCGTTATGGCACAAAGCTCGATGTCCTGGATCAGGTCTTACAGACACTGGTGGAAATCAACAAACTACAACATACCTCTAAAGCAATCCTGTCCCCTAGTGGTCATATAATTACCTCCAAGTATGCCCCATTTTCATTGTCACGAATGCAAAACATGATTTACAAACACGCATTTTTGTTTTATAAGCTTTGTAATATTTTATCTGAATTTCAGAACATCGAATTACAGCATAAAAGCATAGCTAGTAAAGAAAGAGCATTTTACAAATGAAAAAAAAAAATTTCTACAGGTAACAATATAGCCTACTGAGGAAAACCATTTTGCACCTTTAAGAAACTGCAATCTCTTGTTTCAGACTACCAATAAAACTCTTAATACAGTGGTTAACAAGTAGCCTAACTAATTCAACCCACATCAAAAACATCACATACATGCAATTCAGGCTTCCCTTTCAATCACAATACATTTCATATGGGATGTTACATCTTTCAAACGAAGTGATGGCACTACAAAGGCTGATAATGGACATTATCTTAAACGGACCGTTCACCCAAAAATTTAAGTTCTGTCATTTACCCTCTTGTTGTTCCAAACCGAAATTAATTTTTAACACAAAATGAATGAGATCACAGCCTCAGTCACCTTTCGCTTTCATTGCTCTTGTTTATTTATAAGTTTTTTGAAATCTTTGGTGTGATTTCCTGTGTTGAATGGAAAGAGACCTGATAATAAACATATAATTTCAGTGGCTAACTGGTTCAACACCTTTTCCACATACACATACATAACAGTAGACAATGTTTTTTTGTTTTTAATGAAAAATAATTTAGCTGTAGAGAATTTTTTTTTTATGTTGAAACATGTATACTGTCAAATATTTAATGGTGAAACTATATAGTCACTGATGTGCGAGGAGCAGTGAAACCCAGAATGACAATTAAATAATGGCATGTCCCATTATATCAAGAGGAATAAATAACAGAAAAGGAAAGTCTGAGTGTCATTTACTTTAGCAGAACTCAAAGGGACCAGATATTGTGCAGCACCAGCAATGCCAGCAGGCTGACCTCTTGTGGCAAGAAGAACTATCGATCTACACAGAACCAAACTGATTTAGTCTAAACAGTGAAATACGGAAATTGCTTACCTTAAAAATAAAAGGTATATTAAAATAGCACAAATACACTTGTGTTCAAAAGTTTGGGGTTGATAAAGTGTTTACATTTTTTTTAAAGAAGCCTCTTATGCTCACCAGGGCTGCATTTATTTGTTCAAAAAACAGAAATATTGTGAAATATTATTACATTTTAAAACAACAGTTTTCTATTTGGATACATTTAAAAATGTAATTTATTCCTGTTATGGTAGAACTGAATTTTCAGCAGCCATTACTCCAGTCTTCAGTGTCACATGATCCTTCAGAAATCTATTCTAATACGCTGATTTGGTGAGCAAAATGTATTTCCTATTACTATCAACATTGTGTAAAAGCTTTTGTAAAAAAATATAAATGTCTTTACTGTCACTTTAGATGAATTTAATGAACCCATGCTGAAAAAAGTATACATTTCTTAAAAAAGACTTATGAACAGTAGTGTATATACTAAAAATCTTCAGTACATCAAATCAGCACTGCACAAATCCTTACACTCATCACCAGCTCCCTCAATACACACTGTATGCCACTTTTCAACCTCTTCACCCAGACAACTACTGCAGTGCATCAGTACTTCTCCCAACCTCCAGACATTCAGTTTTAAACCCCAAACAGCAGCTTTCACCCCTCACCTCTTTATAATTCCAGTTTTAAAATACTGTTCCATTTTAGTGTCCAGCGTCATAAACAACGAGTTCTTTGTGACTTTTCCGGAGCATGCGTCCACAGTTACTATGAGGAACCCTGACTGGGTGAGGTCAAACCTCTCTGCATTCACCTATAGTACAGGAAAAAGAGAAAACAAAACGATTTTTTTTAATGTTAACAATAATTTCTTCATGCACCACAAAAGAATATGCAAGTTAAATGAAGCTAAACACATCTTCTAATTCCCTGTCCTCTACACACCTCTCCCCACTGTCACATCACAAAATGCACAAAATCACCCCATATTAAGACAGACAGACAGACAGATAGACAGATGGATAGATATATAGGTAGATAGACAGATGGATAGATGAATAGGTAGATAGATGAATAGGTAGATAGATGAATAGGTAGATAGATAGATAGATCTCGCCATCATCCAGTCCATCTGGAATGACATGAAGAAACAGAAAAAAACGGAGATACACTAAATCCAGAAGAACTGTGGCAAGTCTCCAAGATGCTTCAAGAAACCTACCTGCAAAGCTACAGTACTGTGAAAAGTTATAGGCACCTGTGTAAAAATGCTGTAAAGTGAGGATGCTTTCAAAAAATTATATCATAAATAGATTTTATTTTTCAGTTAACACCTATTAACTAAATCAAATCAATATTTGGTGTGACCACCCTTTGCATTTAAAACAGCTTTTGTCCTTGGTACACTTGCGCATAGTTTATATATATATATATTATATATATTATATTATATATATATACAGTGGGTACGGAAAGTATTCAGACCCCCTTAAATTTTTCACTCTTTGTTATATTGCAGCCATTTGCTAAAATCATTTAAGTTCATTTTTTTTCCTCATTAATATACACACAGCACCCCATATTGACAGAAAAACACAGAATTGTTGACATTTTTGCAGATTTATTAAAAAAAAAAAACTGAAATTTTTAAACACAAACAGTTGAAAAGGTTTTAAACTCGCTATCATTAAACATGAAAATAATAAAATATAGTACTAGCCATATCACTAAACATCCCTGAAAATGTGTTTTACTAAAGTGATGTTAACTTTACTTGATTTAAAATCTAATTATATTATTTAACATACTTACTATGGCAGCCTTAAAATACTAAAACTACAATAAAAAATAAACTTAAAAAATGGAAATAAAGCTAGACATGTATTCTTACATTTTACTTAATAAACCAGTGAACACAAGCATGATTCTCCCAAGATGAAATGAATGTTTGGAATAATCACTCACAGTGATATAGGCTTGAGTGTCATTACTCTGTTCTTCTTTTACACTGAGGGATTTGATCTGAGTTTGGAGGTAGCTGTTCCATGGATCACTGGAGAAGGCAAACTACAGGGAGGAAAAGAAAAGTCACTCAAGGTTGACAGTTTAATGGCTCCCTGTTACAATTACCCAGAAAACGCAAGGTAAGGCTCTTGGACATGACGGCAGATGGACAGTCTGTCTATCTGGCACACAGTTCAAAGCCTGTCCCGCTCAAACAGAAATACACAAATGATCCTGTCCGTTCATGTGGAGCTTGGACCGTCCTTACCTGTGAGGCCCCACAGGCTCTGCAGGGCTCTGTGTTCGGCTTTGGCATAGGCACTATGTTGCTGGCAGGCTTTCTGTATTTGGGGTAGGCATTGGCAGTGCAGTTGCAGGTCTGAGTCTTTTGGTTGGCATGTATGGTGGCGATGATCTTCACTCTCTCACAGCCTGCGGTGGAGCAGTAGCTATAGCCGTCTCGTCTGTGCCGAGCTCGTGTGTACAGCCATAACAAACTGGAGGTTAAACACAGGCTTACTGTTTCAGACTGATCAGGCTTCACTGTAAACAATAATTTATCTGGATTTGACAATATAATTTAAAGCGAAGTAGGACAACACAAGTAAAACCCAGAGGCAATGTGAGAAAATGAGCAAACAAAATGATATACATCAAAATGAAAGGTGATATGTAAGAATTAATTTGTAGAGACTAAGCCACTCATGGGTCAATTCCACCGAAAAGTGTTAACAATGCGGCTCTGTTTGTATGAGCATCAGGATGAGCCTGACAAACCAACATGGTCTCAGTCAACGGCGTGATAATTAGAAATGTTTCTTGAGCACCAAATCAGCATTTTAAAATGATTTATGAAGGATCATGTGACACGATCACCTTTTCCATCATCTAATGATTAATAATTAACATTTAAATCTTTAGCAGATCTGAAAACAAATATAAATTTTTCATATAATAATGTAATGCCTAAATTCCCTTGGAGCATTTATAACAACAGATTTTAGTTTTTAGTCTTTTTTTTCTTCTTTTTTTAGAATTTTAATATTCTGTTTAAAGGGATATTAATACTATTTTATTATTTTTATTGTAGGATATTATTAACTATATTAAAATCCTTAAAAAATGCATAACTTCACAAGACCTAATTTGATTCCTACAGCTTTTTGTGAAATCATTGTGTTGATAAAGGCTTGTTAACATTTCAAATACATTTTTTCCTACCCAACAGATTTGTCGAAAAAGTACTTCCTTTCCTGCTGTCGCTTCTCTAGGTCTGAAATGGATGACACAGGGCCGTAGTCTTCTATGCCATCAAAGCCGTTGCTCTGCTTGTTGTAGATGTCTGATGTGATCTGGAAGACTGTTTCACTGGGGTAGCAGAAGCCGAGTAAAGCCCAATCACCCCTACAAGAGCAACACAGTCAAAAAGCACATCAGATTGTCTCTGGCATGAGCACATAGCCGCGGGAACGTATTTTGAGCAGGGGGGGCTGAGAAATAAAACCTGGGGGGGGGGGGGTTTGTCTTTATTGTTGCTGTTTTCATTAAAAATAAATAAAACAATTAACCACAAACTAAGCATTTGTTTTAAAAGAGGGTAAATACCTTATTTATCTGGGTTACAACACAAGTAGACTATATCCGTCTTATTCATTTTGTTAATAAAAGTTAGATGTTTAATATAGGCCTATGCGAATTTGCCATTGTACTATTTTATGGCTGATGTGTTTTAATTAATAGGCTAATAATGAACTACAAACTACGATCGTTTAAAAAAATGGGGGAAATCCAAAGACCGTTTATTTATTTGTGTTACAATGAGGGTAAAACATATTTTCCTTATTCATATTGTTAATAAAAGTTCAAAGTTTAATATAAGTAAATTTGTCATCGTACTGTTTTACTGTATAGCCTTTTGTATTATTGTTAATAATAATAATGAGCCACAAACTAAGCGTTCGTTTGAAGTAAGGGGAAAATCCAAAAACCTTTTATTTATTTGTTACAACGCGGGTATGTCTTATTCGTTCTGTTAATAAAAGTTTTATGTTTAATATAAGCTACTTTGTCATTGTAGTATTGCTGATGTTGTGTGTGGGATTTTTTTTTCATTAAGAGTAATACTGAATCAACCTTAAGCATTAATTTTGTTCCAAGAATATGAAAGATCTAACATTAAATATCAAAATAAGCGCTGTAGAAGCAAGAATGCGAGATTGTTATTACTATTGGTTGTTGCTGAGATAATAGACGCTCTTCTGTCTTTCTCAGTTGTATCTTCGCAATGGCTGTAGAAATGGTCGTTAATTCTTGATTTGGGTCCGGCACAGACATGTTACAGGTAATAATATGATCAAGAAGTCATGGCAACAAACGACTTCCTAAGTCAGTTTAAGTTGAAACGACTTTCACAATCAATTTGATTAAACTGAATTCATGTTTTACTGTTGCTTATTGTCACTGTAGGCTTAGGTATTTTTTTCTATGAATTTTAATGAAATGACAAATTAATCAAATTAGCTTTATTTATTTTTTGTTACAAAATTTTCAATGATTTATTTTTAACACCGCACCCCCAGCCCCCCCATTTTTTCTTGAGCTACATGCCAGGGGGTGCTGCAGCACCCCTACTTCCCGCGGTAATGCATGAGCAACATGTATGTTAATTACTAAGGCAAAATTTCATGGTTATATAGTTTAGTAACTAATGTTCTGTTTCAGATATGGGGGATCACATTCTTCCTTTTTTACTTACCGGTCAAAATTAATAAGAGACAGGACTGTTTCTCTGGGTGTAGGTCCATTCCAGTGCACCGTGTAGCTCTTGCCCATCATCAGTACAGGCTGGTACTGCTGAGAAGGAGCTGTCTGGCTTCTGATACCTCTGAGAACCATTGGCTTATCAGGGTATTCATCTCTACTGATAGATAGGCTCAGATTAGATGCAGCCTGTGTCTGTATATACACCTATGTAGAACACAAGTAACATTGTTTAAAAAGCAAAAACAGTTAAGAGAATATACATTACTGTTCAAAAGTTTGAGGTCAGTGAGATTTGGTTTAACAAAATTAAAAAATGTAATAAATTCAGCAAGGAAGCATTAAATTGTTAAAAAGCAGCAGTTAAGACTTACATTGGAACAAAAAACAATTTTAAATAATGCTGTTCTTTTGAGCTTTCTATTCATCAAAGAATCCTAAAGAAAATGTATCAAGGTTTCCACAAAATTATGAAGCAGCACACCTGTTTTCATCAGCAATAATAATAAATATGAGCAGCAAATTAGCATATTAGATTGATTTCTGAAGGATCATGTGACACTGAAGACTGGAGTAATGGCTGCTGAAAATTCAGCTTTGCCTATAAATTACATTTTAAAACATTAAAACAGAAAACTGTTATTTTAAACTGTAAAAATATTTCACAATAATATTTTTACTGTATTTTTCATTAAATAAATGCACCTTGGTGAGCATAAGACTTTTTTCAAAAGCATTAAAAATGTGTTAACGACCACAGCCTTTGAACAGTGGTGTACTTGCATATCAACATAACATGAAAATTCAAAAGGAGAATGAGACACCTATTTCTTTACCTGAAAGTACTTGCCGCTGCACACAACCCCATTCCAATCAGGAACATCCACACATTGAGGGTGGCGGATCAGGAAGTTGTCGGCCCTTGCCACATACGTATCTGTGTAATTGCTGATTGAACCATCCAGGTCATGAAAGATGGAATTTTTATCGCCGTCCAGATCATTCTGCTCAAACCACTCGCCTGGTCGGCCAAAAAATGCCCTTAGAGTTACCTGGATGATTAAAAGAGGATCACTGGTCATGAGAAATGTAAACGAAAACAACTGGACAGAACAAGAATCAATGTGGTACCATTTAGACACAAGTGAGGCAAAATATGACCACATTTAAAGACCTTTCCAAGGGCTCTTTTTAACATATGCTAAATACCAGCTGCCAGAACAGGGGCTTATTTTTTAATTATTCAGCACCAGAGCAGATGGTGACCAATCAAGAGAGAACAACCAGATGTGTCGTTTCTCAAAACGAAAAAAAAAAAAAAGAAAAAAAAATTATAAGTGAAAATGTCATAAAACTCTTCAGTTTTTTTTTCTTTTTTAGGAGACGCAGCTTCAATTCTGGATGTTTTCTGATCATATTCAATCTCTATAATTATAATAAAAAAAAAACTGAAATTCAACCATTAATATATATAATATATATATATATATAAATTTGACTAAAATAAAAAAATGGCCATAAATTATTTTTGAAACACAATATATTTTAAGTTAACACCAGTGTCATTTCAGTATCACCAAGATATTTTTATTAATATTTTGAATCAGTTTTTATTTTTATATTTTCCATTTTAATTTCAATTTCAGTTAAAAGTTTTAGTAATTTTGTTGTGTTTTGTCATTTTTAGTAGTTTTTATTTTTTATGTCTATATAGTTTTTATTTCAGTTTTAGTTTGTTATGGCAAGTTTTTTATACTTTATTTTATTCCAGTAAAGTTTATTTTATTTCAAATATCAAATATGTTTTGTTTTTTGTGGTTTTAGTTTTATTTAACAGTAATAAACCTGGTTAACACACTAACTTGGGCAGTCCCAAAATAACATGACTAAAATCAAAATAATATAATTTAATAAATAAACAAACTATAAGCACTGAAAATATAAAGGAAAACTAAACTAAATGACAAACTGTTGCTTCAAGAGAAATTATATATATATATATATATATATATATATATATATATAATTCTAAACTATAATAAATGTGACTGAGATAATGTACAAATAAACAAAAATGTTACAAAAAATTAGAAAATGTTCACAGTTTTTATTCTTTAGTACTGAATGTCTTATTACAGAAGCAGTTAAACTGAGTAACTTATTATGTCTGTAGGTGGGTTAGTAGTCACAGTATGGTAGTGTCAGTGAGCATTTTGAACAGTTTTCAAGTCCTAAATGTGTATGTGCACTCACACTAGGCTGGAAGGCGAGAGACGACAGGTTATTTCTGGGTGTCAGCTGCCAGATGTTTTTCAGGCTGAATCCCACAGCCATGATGAAGCGCTCTGTCGTTGGACTGAAGGCCCGAAACGTGCTGTCTAAGATTCTCACTGGACCATCATTTATCTGAAAACCTCGGATTGGAAATGTCCTGACAAGAACGGAGCAAAAGGCAAACAATATTCCAGTCAAACAAAGAATTTGCCTTTTGCTAAACCAGACAAAAGTTCATGTTAATACTAATCTTCCCTGAGTTCCCTCACATACTTGTTTCTTGGTAGAGTCCTCATCTTTCCATCTACTCCACCGATCCCCCAGTATTTATTTTGTCCTCCATTGGTGCCACGATTTCTGCTTTCACCAACAAACAGAGACTGGGAGACCTCCTGACTAGAGCCCTCATCTTTAGGGTAGCTGCCATCACTGCAGTGAAGAGGAGGGGGAGAAGGAGGAGGGGAGTGAAACATTTTAATTGTTTCATTAACTGCCTGCCTTAGGAGGTTGATGTAGAACACTAGTGCAGGCAAGTTCACACCCTTGCACACATTTGTCAATCAGGGGTGCATTTCCCAAAAGCAACTATGGTCGCAAGTTCTGTTGTTACCAATAGAGTTCAATGGAACGAACCACCATAGTTAGCTAACGATGCTTTTGGGAAACGCACCCCAGACTGTGAGTGTTTTAGCTTTAAAAAAAGTGTTCCTTTAAATGACTATGCCTGCAGCCAGGGACAGAGACAGCAAGAACATTCCTGCATATACATATATACACTCACATAAACTGTATGGTTGTCAATTTAACATGTTATTCATATATGCGATTAATTAGATCATAATTTGTAGTTGACTGGCAGCTCTAATAAACAGAAAAATGACACAGTACCTTGCAAATGAGAGTCCAACACCATTGTCTGCAAATCTATTAAAAAAACAACAATCAGAAGATAGCTATATTTTATTTATGCAATTAGCTTTTTAACGGGTCTATAATTATGAGGTTTTGTCCCATACCCTGAGTTTCGTATGATGATGTCACCTCCACGGATCCAGGCCCCCAGATCGTTGTTTTTAAAGGAGATGAGAGTATCGATGACTGCGGTCACCCGTGGCCTGTTTGGATCAGAGTTCTCATGAGGCTTGAACCTGAGAAAGCAATGTCAAACAATGAGAAATTCAGTCTTTCCTTCAGAAGAAAAGGTGTTAATGCTAGGGAAGTGCTTTAGAGTTGTGAGGGTTTTCTGTATGACTGCTAGGTGTTTGCTACTGTAATATGAAAAAAGATATAATTTAAATGTAAGCATTTATACATATTAGTATTTATTATACTGCTTTTAATGTATGCTGATTTATATTGAATTCGGCATTAAATGAAAATTCACCCAATCTATTTTCTAAATGCATGTTATAAATCTTATTGTGGAATATTCATCTATGTATATCTTTAATTTTTTGTATTATTTTTAAGTCAAAATATAACTTTTGATCATATATCATATCTTCCAGTGAAAACTACAGTCTACAGAAAAGATCTGTCATTCCGTTTCATTGCAACTTTAAATATTTATTTATTAAGTATTTAACCACCACTGAAAACAATATATATATAATCAGGAAAATTATTTAAAAAATAATTAAGATTAATATGCAAGTAAATGATAAACGTAAATACACTTTTTTTTTTTTATAGAAGTAAATACAAGAAAAAAGTAAAGAAAATGTCCAGACACATAATGGTAATCAGAATTTTTGGCACAATGGCATAATGCCAAAATTATGTTTTGCTGTCAAATGTGACCTAGGTTTTTGTGAGATTCGCCCATACATTTTACAGAAAAATATTTTGACACAGAATACAGTCAAAATATCTGAAATAAACAAGGGTGAAGCATACACCTACAGCATATACACACACACACACACACACACACATACTGACACACTGTATATTTATAGTGTGGTCGTGTGTGGCTTAAGAAAAAAACGGAACTCTTTCCGGATATCCCATATCCCCTGACTAGTGCAGAAACTCTATCTGGGCAGATGTGTTTTCATTATAAGCTGAATCAACTGACCCTGGACATAAAGAAACGTTCACCATGTTTACTCACCTAGCGCTGTTGTCCAGACAGAGATATTCACGTGGGTCTGCTGCAGTGGCGTTGGTGCTCTTGACTTTTCTATCAATAAAGAGGCCAGCCTGACACAGGATGAAAGAAGCAATCACTCTTCACTTTGAAATTGTATGTTCAGTGTCTGGTAATACAGTGCCAGTGAAAGTAAAGCCTGTAGTTTCTCTGCACCTGGACAGTCACGAGTCACGACACTTAGCTCATAAGCCTTTGGTGTTCTTAGCTCGCATGTATAACCATAACCAGCGTTTGATGCGCTGGTCTTTAGTTGTACAAGGTTATAATTTGGTGATTAAGCATAAAAAGGGATCAGAGAATATCATTGCTGATGCTTTATCCAGAGCTTGGTCAGTGGCTTGAGAACTTGTTAACACTTGTATAATGAGTGAATTAAATAGTTTTTTTTTAAGGGGGGGAGTGTTACGTTCCTCGTATGTTTTGTATTCTTGTTTGCTCCCCGTTTTCTTTTCTCCTTTTCCTCTTTTGTTGTTTCTGCTCTAAATTCTTAGGTTTTGTTTACTGGCTGCTCGGTTAATCAGTTGATCAGTCGGGATGGACCTACCCATTTAAAAGGCGGCCGGGTTTTGTGTGCTGCTGTCAGCCGTCCTGCTTTCCAGCCAGCGGGCGACTGTCCGTTTTTGCCAGCCTCGCTCATTTTTTTCTTTGACTGTTTGAGTTGTGTTTATTAGTTCTTTTGAATTGTTCAGTTGACTGACTTATTCGTTAGTTTATTGAGGCTTTCTGGCCCTGTGGTTAGGTTTACTAAACCTGTGTCATTGTTCGCTAGAACTTAGAAACACCTGTTGCTGAATGATTAGTGCTTTAGTTGCTGGTTTGACATGTGGTGCTAAGTTACCCCTGTGATCAGTTAACCTAGACCAATGTGTTTTTGTTAAGTGAGTCCTGTTAGAATGATTTCGGGAAAAGGAGGTAGGTAAGTTTTTGTATTTAGATGTTTTTACATTTGGTAGTTCTAGTTAGGGAGTGACTGCCACCTATGTATTTTGGTTATTAATCAGGGTAGTTTATGTTGGCCGTCGGATACACTAAAGTTTTATTTTTACACTTTCTGTTTGATAGTTAGATTAGTTGGGTTGAGGTTCAGCTATCGGGGTTGTTTTGCTTTTGATTATTTCTTTGTTTTGGCGTCACTCAGTTTTCAATCCTTTTCCCCATAATTTATCCTATAAGTTATTTATTTTTAGTGATTGCTAATCTGCACCTCTCAAAAATAAATAGAGTTCATATTGAACATGATTGCCTGTTTCCTGGTCATTTCCTTTCATGGTTTGCCCCAGTGCCAGTTGTGTCTCACTTAAATGTTACGAAACATCCTCACAAATATTAAACACATAACATTACGAGCTAGCCAACATAAACAAGTGGATAATAGAGAACTATCGTATAGGGAAATGTATGTGTGAGCACCCTGCCACACAAGCACATCGTGCCGGACCTTTGAACAATGAGGCATTTCAGAGAATGAACGAAGATGCCTTGTGTACATGCAATAAAAATTTGAACTCATAATTGATTGCACGAGTCTTTCCTGAAGCCACACTTTATAAAATGTTGCAAATCCCAAATGACTTATGAACTGCACTATTATGAGCCAAAGTCTGGAAATGCTAACTTCACCACAGGAAGCTGGGTATTAAATGAAGATGGAGAAATAGCATCAGCACTGATATTGTGTGATGAACATTACCTGAAGATAAATTTAAAAAAAGACTCCAAATGCGTCTACAAATCATAAAGTCTAATTATCCTAAATCATTGTTATTATTTGAAGGTTTGTTTTGCCCACTGACTTGTGAATTTGGCATTATAATCATAGATGAGGCATTTGATTACCTTAAAGTTGGAATGAACACGGTTGTTAAAGAAGATGCCCAGAGGCGTGAGCTCAGCTTTCGTCTCCGGAATCAGTCCATGAGAATCACCTGTAGAGGAATTGTGGAAAACATACCAAATTCCTGCATCCTGAGAGAGAAAAAAGAGAAAATTAATATACCAGGTATTTTCATAAATATTTTCATATCCTTAACATTTTCTGAAGGTTAAACAACTCCTTTTACTGACAATTTGCTTACAAATGCCCTATTTTTTACTAGTGGAAAGAGAGGGTGAATAATATTTACTCCTGAGTCCTGATTTCTATCACAGGAAGATGACTGAGACTCTCTTAACCTGGTCTGCTGAAAGCATGACTTCATAGGAAGCTTTTCTTTTAATAATAAAGGGTGGAGGGTGCATCCTTTTATATACAAAACCCTCAAACAAAACAAAGCGCAACAATACCACCAGCCTGAACAGATTTCTTTTGGCAAATAAATTTTTAATTAAAGAATTGGAATGTGGAGATGCTATCTGTGATTGCACAAGCACCTTGATGTTCTCATTAGTATCACAGAGCTGTGGGCATCATTTCAAAGAGCACAAATTCAATCAGAGAAAGTCACGGAATAGTCGTTCTATGATAAATAAATACCCTCAAAATGTTGCAAACAAACACTGACTCACTTTTCCTTGCAGATCATAGTGAAAATGATTCATTTGGTCAAATCAAGGATTGTGCATATACCTGTGATCCAGCTGCTGAGTTACTGATCAAATGATTATTGGGGTGTGCGATCCAAAATGTAGACACTGCCCTAGAATACAAACATTAGACAGGGTCTTGTAAATGTGTGATCTTAAAATACATTGATTGAAGCATTTGTTTATTATGTTTAAAACAAAATAATACATTTTAGTCTTAGCTTTTAGATATAGTTTATTATAAAAATAACTTTGGCAGCACTAAAATACTAAAACTACAATAAAAATGAAATAAACAAAAACTAAATTATAAAAACATTATAATAAAACTAACAAAGATCAAGCAAAACCTTAAAAATAATAATAATAAATAAATAATTAATAAGCAAATAAATATTTGACAGCACTAAAATACTAAAACAACTATAAAAATGAAATAAACAAAAACTAAATTATAATAAAACTAACAAAGATCAAGTAAAACCTTAAAAATAGTAATAATAAATAATTAATAAACAAATACATTTAAAACACCTGATAAAAATAATAATAACCTGAAAAAAAAAAACTATAATAACCCTGGCACAAAAGTCCAACTGTTCCAAACTGACCCCAGCATTACCTCACTGTTTGATCAGAACTACAACTCTGAAACATATTCCAACATCAACCTTCATCCTGAACATCTACAGCTCTATACACAAACACACACACGCTCCAAAAACATTTTTTATCCTTTTTAAAACAGCACCTTCTCAGCTATCCTCTGCCAGGGACATTGGGTGTTTTATTGCCCAGATAAGAGAAAAAGACTATTGCTGAGTCTCAGGAAATGAGAGCTCTGTTCTTTCTCCTGTTATTTGACCAAAAAATACAACAGGTCACACTGTCAAGGTCAGTTACCCAGAGCAGAACAAGCACTCTGTACATCAAGAGACTTTGAGATAACATTCACACACATACACAATTTCAAGCTGAGAGGCTTCAAGAAGCGTGAATATTGGCCTCATTGTAAGTTACAGGTCTATGAAGCAATATTCAATAAATATGTGTGAGTTTATGGTATCTTACTTGCACTCGTTTGCAGGAGATGGTACATATCCTTTGTGTACCCTGTCTGTAATTTCTGTGCACATGCTATCATTGCGGTCGGTAGGTAGAATGGTTCCTGGCCTGGTCAACAAGCCTAGGTTATGGAAAAATATGTTCCTTTGTTCAATCCCGTCCTCCAGGAAAAAACAATGTCCCAGTGTATCATAGCCAACTGTGTCCCTAACCTATAATAAAAGGAAGATATCATGATGAATCAAAACGAGAAGATCAATGAAAACAAATACATTATTGTTAGGACATATATATTTCTCTCACCAGCAGGCCATTAGTGGCATGTATGCCAACACATCGGGAGAAGGAGTGATGGATGGAGAGGGAGTCCAGATAGGTGTGGTCACTGTATCCCCCGCGCTGGTCCACATCTCCACACCTATGAAAGTTCACAGGGTATCTGCCCTTCTCCCGCTGCTGACCCATGTGTTTCAGCTCCACCTGAGACAAGTGGACCGACGAGAAGTTCCCCAAAATCTGAACAAGATCAAAAAACAAGAAATCAAAAACACAAGACCAAGTGTTGGCCAACTAATATCTATCGATCTATAAAAACTTTATTTTTTTTTAAAAAGAGTGGTTGTATTAGGGGTGTAACGGTACACAAATATGACAGTTCGGTACGTACCTCGGTTTTAATGTCACGGTTCGGTATGATTTCGGTACAGCAGGGGGGAAAACTAAACTTTTTTTTTTTTTAAATGTATGGTTTACTGAACAAGTTGCTCTTTCTTTAAATACATTCAGTTATAGTTAAAATTTCTTAGTGATAAAAATCTTATCAGCTTATGCTTAAAACTATAGGGAGACCGTTTACATTATAAGGTTACAATTAGGCATAACAACTTAACCCAAACTTAAATTTAATTGCTATTTATTTTTAAATAGATGATTAACACTCAACTTAAAAAAAAATAAAAAATTGTATGCAAACAAGTAAATTGCACATAATGCAGTTTATAAATTAACTTATAAATAATACAATTTCTAAGTTATTTGTTAAAATATATTCAATTACACAATGGCTGTCATAGCATGTTTCATAACAGATTAATTTAAACATACTGTACATTAAGTATTTAAGACTAACAGGTTTAGTAAAATATAATGAGTATATGGTGTAATATTTTGCAAAATGCTCCTCTCTAGACTTCATTTCTCTAGTGAACTAACGAGCTGTGTTTTATTTCCACGCTGTATTGTTGATGTCTTTCCGCGGTTGAAACACTGATTGAGCAATTACATGAGGCATGAGATGTTCAGTCATGTTTATTCGCGTTAAAACTAGTAGTACAGAGGAAGGAATGATCGAGTTCACTCGCGCTCCGCTCTGCACAAATCTGCGGGGCGTCACGGCTCAGACACGGGAACCGGAGCTGATCGCGGCCGCTCTAGTCAGTGTTTGTGTTGGGATTATACCGTCACGTTTCTGAACTGTCCCAGAAGCGGCTCTCTAAGGCGTTTATACAGCGATCTGTCGTGCCACATAAAAGATGGTCAAACGCCATTTATTATTTGAATTTCCTGAGAAGAAGAAGAACAAGAAAAAAAGAAAAAAAAACTGTATTCGTGCGGTACACATGCGTACCGAACCGAAAGACCCGTACCGAAACGGTTCGGTACGAATACGTGTACCGTTACACCCCTACGTTGTATAAGTGCTACTGTGTGTTGTGGCTTGTCATTCTGCTGCCAAAAATAACACACAAATTTAAGATTATGCGTTCAGTTCCTTCCATTCAAAAGAGCTATACTCCATTATCTTGTGCAAACCCCAACATACAACAGCCTGTGGTTTCTCCACATGACAGCACCAGACAGCTTAGTGTTACATAAACACACAACCGCACACACATACACACACACAGACCCTCAAACAGACCTTGATGTGTCCCCCGAAGGTGTCGTAGCTGAAGTACTGGCACCAATTTTTTCCGTAGCAGGAGTTTTCCATTTCTCCATGAATGAGGATATTCCTTGAGAGGAGGGCCACCTCCGCACGCATGTCCACACCGTCCAGTATCTCTCCCACGTGGGTGAACTGAGGCTTTCCTGAGAAATTCCGACACATAAACACACTCCATAAAACTCACTGACTAATGATAGAGTTTGAAAATATGATGAGAGATTTATCTTAAATAATGAACCCAAAGTGTAAAATTAAAAATACAATAAAAACAAAAAAAATTCTCTGTTTAAATATTTGTATCATTTAATTAGATGAATTAAGAATAATTAATAAGACGAATTAGGAAGAAGTGGAATGAATGAGTGGATTAGCTTTTTAAAAAAAAGTTTCATAAATAATGGATCCAGGACATTCATTCGGACTGCCCTTTACGCACACCCAGAGTACACACAGTATCCTTCCGGACAGAAAAGGGCTGGCAAAAGCTTTGCCAACAGGACACAATGCACAAGGTGACATTTAAACTACATCCTGATAATAGAGGCCACATATTGAAGACATTTCCATTCTCCAACGAATTAACATATGTGCTGGGAATAATGACCATATTGTAATACATGCACAATACAACCCAGAAACTATTTGGATACTTAATGTTTTAGCATTATACAACAATATCAACTCAAGTGATATTTATTTTAAAGATATAAAATACCATTCAAAAGTTTGGGGTCAGTAAGATTTTTTTTTTTATTTATTGAATTTTATTCAGAAAGGATGCATTAAATTGATCATGAGTGACAGTAAAGCCATTTAAAATGTTACAAAAGATTTCTATTATTAAAAATCCTGGGAAAAAAAAAAATCACAGTTTCCACAAAAATATTAAGCAGCAGAACTTATTTTCAATGTTCAAAGAATACAAAAAGTTTCCTGAAAACCAAATCGGCATATTACAATGATTTCTGAAGGATCATTTGACACTGAAAACTGGAGCAATGGCTGCTGGAAATTCAGGCCTCCACCAATTACCGAGACCAAGGCCCATGCCTGCCTAAAACAGAGATGAGAAAGAGCTATTAAGAAAACCAGCAATGGACAAAAACATGCAAGAAGATGTGACAGATTTGGTGGAATGGTGTATTCATAAAAAATAAACTGTCTCAAATCAATCAGTTCGACGACAATAAAATATAAATGACAAATTAGGATGAATGGCTCTGAACTCTCGGCGAGCCAGCGCCTTGCCACCGGTGTCATGGTTCTCATGTTCTCGTACGTCTTCCGAGCAAGAAGCATTTCCTCCACCAATTACCGAGACCAAGGCCCATGCCTGCCTAAAACAGAGATGAGAAAGAGCTATTAAGAAAGCCAGCAATGGACAAAAACATGCAAGAAGATGTGACAGTACTCCGCTTCGCGTCGTGCCTTGTCATTTTTGGGTGAACCATCTTTAAATTTCAGTCTGTTCCTCACACAAAGCTGTTGTATTTCACTAATATCCATTAGTATAATATGCATTTGGACCACGTTAATGATGCCTTTTATAATTTCTGGGGCTTAACAACCCCTGGTCACACTTCAATTGTATGGAGAACAGAGGTGTGAACCTTCTGCTAAACATCTCTTTTTGTGGTCTCCAGAAATAAGAAAGTCATTTGGGTTTGGAATGACATGAGAGAGTGATAAATAATGAAAGAATACGTTGAACCATCCATTTAAAAATGATAATAATGAGTGTATTGACTTTTTACATCATTAATTCATAAAATATTACCTAGTGTAAATATAACCAATCCTACTTCCTCTCTCCCTATAAAGGCATCATTCAGTTGTGGCAAGGATGGAACTAAAAGAGTGGAAAAAAGGGGGTAAAAACAACAACAAAAAAGAACAAAACTATGGCTCAACAGACACTGGAGCTACTGCTGTCAGCTTCTGCGGTAGCATTAATACTTCCACTATGATGAAACTGCAGGTACTTCACAACAACTAGGTCAGAACTGCTATTTGTTATACTGACGCATATGAGCTCCAAAGGCCAAGCCTCAAACACGAAACCCTCTAGAGGTTTGGAAAATAGTGTCTCATTGAACTTTCTCCCATTAAGGAGTGTGGTTCACTGCAGTTTACAACAAGTTTATAAAATCTTTGTGGATAAACAGTGACTAACTACCCACTTTGAGACCAATAAGGCCAACTTAGCTGCTATGAGGTGGGAGGTCTATGATGGCCAGAAACCACACTTGTATTATCATTTTATCTTTCATATTTTCATCTTTTAGCAGCCACCAAGGAAAGATTACCTAATTTTTCAGAGTAACTATTATGTCTGATTAACACAGGAATCTTTCCTGTCTTTTTCCATCTTGTTCCTGACTATTCCCTACCCTCAAAGGGGAGAAGAATGTCTAATATCATTAAAGAGTGAATCGTCCCAATATTTCTTGCACTTTTAACACCTTCCACATTTACATATTCTCTGTGTAGCACTAAAACTTAAAGTCTTTGTTTAACAATCATGAAATGCAGTTTCAAAACAGCATGCTGCAATCATTTTTATAATTCCATGATGTTAAAACTTGCATGAAAGTTGTGGAAATAAACCACTTTCCACAATAGCACAACAAACTCTTTCTTCAACACAGATACAGATACACCAGGGATCTTATCAGTGTCATTTAGCTCTTTTGATGCTCCAAAATATGATGATCACCTTGCAAAAGGAATCCTTTTTGCAAAATAAAATCATACTAAAGAAATTTTAAAAATCTAATATAAAAAGGCCAATTTATACAGTGTGAGTCAACATCTTATAAAGGCAACATCTTGTTAAATTAAAAACTTGCTAAATTAAATCATGGGCGTATTTGTACTATAACCAAAATAAAATTATTGAAATGTTAATCACAAACATATTTACTTTGTATTTAATTAACAGTTGATCTTTTTCTACCCACTATTAGAATACATTTAGAACTTTATATTATTTTCTATTATATAAAGTTTGTATTTTGACCCTCTTGCAACCCCTGGAGGTCCCCATGCCCCTCATGTAACACATGCTTTGTATCCAAACATACACCTCTTTCTACAAGGACAATCCTCCCTGAGCAACCAGGAGTTCTCTCTTAACAACACAAACAAACTTCACAATAATCAACATTCTTTCATACCTCAACTTCTAGCAACTTGCCTCCTAGTCAGTCTGACATGGGCAAAGCACATATGTTAGATTTATCACTAGCCGATAACAGGCTTATCAATTTATTTCTATCAAAAACATGTGAGCTCCAACGCACCCCTCAGGAGTGCCTATAGGGAGCAGGGGGTTAGAATTGGACAGGCTGGTTTATGTTGCGCAAGTTTTCAGTTAGATTGTGCCAGATTGTTCTGTTTTGCAAAAGGGAGCTGCCAAGTTTGCATGTTTTCATCAGAGATGTGGCGAGTCTGACTGGTAAGGGGTGGAAAGCGAGGGTTAAATAAGTGGTTTCGGTGAGCGCAATGTGTCAAACTGAAGTCTCCAAATGAGTAAATTTAAGTCGGCTTTCTTGTCACACCTACTACTAACCATGTCCTGCCCATTTCTCCCCACCAGATTCACTGAAAACTACATAGCTGCACTGGCACAAAGTCAGTAGACAGCAGACAGATAATATTTCTTCGTATGATACACTACTCTTTGCATTACAGTTCTAGTTATGTAACAGAGAGAACACAGAAATCTTCTGAGTTTTCATGCCCAAGACCTTTGACTAAACTAATGTGTCTAGAGACACCGTCTGCAGTTTGAACATTAGAATAAGCATGCATATTTTCCATATTTCTTTAAGTAGTAAGAGAATGTTACAAACAAGTGCCTTTGCAATGGACTGTAAAAGTAGGCTTTATGTCTGGAGGAATTTCTATATTTGACACCAAACTCTTTAGAAAATATTTTCAGTTGCACGGTAATAAACTTCATCCCTCACTGAAAATCCATACTTTCCATCTGCAATGTAAATAAAAGAGACTCAGCATCTGGTTCTTCTGGCTTTGAGCTCTTGAAAAATCCTCGCAATGAGGTATTATAGACAGATACACACGTCAGCACTTTTCAAACAAATCCTGGAAATATGCCTGTTTAACCTTTCAACGGCTTTTCCTGCAGAATACTGCCATTTGATACACTGGGAGGCTTCTTTTGATGTGTTTCTGTGTAACAACCAAACAGGTCTCCCAATCCGAACAGCTGAAAATTGGCCAAAACCTCTCTAAAACTAGCCAACATACTAGTAAACCAGCTTTGGCTGGTTTAAGATGATTTTTTCAGTAGTGATGCTTTCAAAATGCCTTCCTTATTCACCTGTATTTGAGATTATTGACATGACTGCTGCCTAGAAGATCCTTGATGGTTCTCTTGGTCTCTTCCAGCAGGCTCTTAACCGCAGAATCACCGGTGGCCAGTGCGACAATGCGTCCTGCAGGTAGAGACTTCAGCAGCTGACTCAGCCTCTTACTGTCGTTACTGGAATCGTGTGTGTCAAAACGCTCGTTGCTCACCACCTCCGCCGTGTCCTGATCAACCACCCGCAGGTTAATTCCACGGCTGAAGTTCTTCTGGAAGCCATGGTCACCGGTAGCCAAACCTGAAGCAGGTACGGTGCGAGTGAGGAAGGTCCAGGACAGCCTCTCTGACCCGTGGAGCTCCAGAGTTCCTCCGGCATTCACACCCAAAAACTTGTGGCCCATGCCAGGAACCTCAGTCACGGCGGTTTCATCCGATCGGCCGACCAGGGTGATGGTAGCCAGGGAGCGATAGCGGCATTTTGGAGCCCCAATATGGAGAGCACCGCCATCTTCTATCAAAATGTGGCGCGTTCGTAATGTAATGTTTTTTGAGCCTTTTTTATCATCGGCAAAGACAACCAAACCTATAATAAAATTAATGAAATCAGCACAAAGAGGAGATTTAAAGGGATAGTTCACCCAAAAATGAAAATTTTGTCATTAATTACGCACCCTCATGTCGTTCCAAACCCATAAGACCTCCGTTCATCTTCGGTACACAAATTAAGATATTTTTGAAGGAATCTGAGAGCTCTCTGACCCTCCCATAGACAGCAAGGGTCCTTACACGATCAAGGCCCAGAAACATAGCAAGGACATCGGTAAAATAATCCATGTGACATCAGGGGTTCAACCGTAATTTTACAAAGCTACGAGAATACTTTTTGTGCGCAAAAGAAAAAAAACTATGACTTTATTCAACAATTCGCCTCCTCCGCATCACCCTAGCGCCATTTTGGAGAGTATCCACTGAATGTAAATTGCGTAAGATGTTTTGTGTTAGCTGTGCCACACGGATACGTTGTTTTCATTCAAATCAAAGCGTAAATGACGTAAACAGCGTATCCGCATGGCACAGCTGACACAAAACAGCATATGCAATTTACGTTCAGTGGATACTCTCCAAAATGGCGCAAGGTTGATGTGGAGGAGACGAATTGTTTCTTTTGCGCACAAAAAGTATTCTCGTAGCTTCGTATAATTACGGTTGAACCCCTGATGTCACATTGATTATTTTACCGATGTCCTTGCTACGTTTCTGGACCTTGATCGTGTAAGGACCCTTGCTGTCTATGGGAGGGTCAAAGAGCTGTCAGATTCCATCAAAAATATCTTAATTTGTGTTCCGAGATGAGGTCTTATGGGTTTAGAACGACATGAGGGTGAGTAAATAATGACAGAATTTTCCTTTTTGGGGGAACTATCCCTTTAAAACTAAGTAAAAGTACTAGAATTCTCTGAAATGTACAAAAATTAACAAGCCAGAGTGTTTTTCAAAGGTATTTTTTACATATCGCACAAATGATCTTACCTCCAGCCTGGATAGTGATAGAGTACAGGGTGGCAGATGAATCTAGACGGTAATGCTCACCACTGCGTACCACCACCTTTTTGAGGTCATGGCCTGGGTTCCAGGAGAGCAGCACAGGGTTGTGATCAGGGCAGTTCTCTACAAAAGAATGAGCAACATTTATTTTTTTTCATGTATTTCGATATTTGCTTTGCTAGACATAATATTTAGTAATAATAAAATGTTGTTTTCTTTCATTTTTATTCAAAAAAATGTAATTTACAAAATGTATTTTTCTTTACAGAAAGAAAATGTATATAATATAATTCCATAAATTAATTTAGCAGGAAAACTATGACTTACAATGCAAATTACTGACTGGTCTGTTGTTCCCAACACATTCTTTCTGATACCATTCTTGAAATTTCAGCAAAACCTCATACATGTTAGCCAGCTTTATACTGCTTATAATGTTATAAACAAATTCTATTAATCCAATTTTTAATTTCTATTCTGAAAAACATGTATAATGGTTTCAACAAAAATATTAAGTAGCACCAATATTTTCAACATTGATAATAATAAGAAATGTTTCTTTAGCACTAAATACACATAAGAATTATTTTTTGGGAGGATCCTGTGATACTGAAGACTGGAGTAATGGCTGTTGAAAATTCAGCTTTGACATTGCAGGAATAAATGATAAATTTCAATCAAAATATCTTAAAATAGAAAACAGTTATTTTAAATTGTAATAATATTTCACAATATACTGTTTTTACAGTATTTTTGATTAAACAAATGCAGCCTTGGTGAGCAAAAGTGACTTCTTTAAAAAAAAAAAAAAAAAACTTAAAAATGTCTCACTGGCCCTAAAATTTTAACGATTTAACAACTTTTTAACTATTCCTCACATACTCAAGGTGATCGTGTCTTACCATCCAACACATCTTTAGAGGCAAGACTGAGGACGAGTATGAGAATCAGTAGGAAAACGCAGAAGAACACGCCAACACAAATATAAGTGTTCTTCCTCTGCTGGTTCTGGGCACGCTCCCTTCTGCTCTCATCTTCTGACAGATTAAAAACCGATGGTCGTGCAGGGGGCGGGACCGGGGGCTTCAGTGGGGGCGGTGGAGGAGCCTTGGCTGGTGGTGGAGAACGAACTGGAACAATCCTGCCTGGAACATATCCTGACGACCGCTGAGCATTTCCGTTAACAGGAGCCACAAAAATGGGGTGACTGCTGGGGCCATCATTCACCTGCATGGTATAACTGTCTGCCACGTCCTATGGGGGGGGGGGGGAGAAAATCATAAAAGATACACTAATATCATTCAAAAGTTTGGGGTCTGTAATATATTTTAATGTTTTTGAAAGATGCAAGGCTGCATTTATGTAATCAAAAATACAATACACTGTAATATTATGAAATATTAATATAATTTAAAATAACTTTCTATTTTAATATATTCTAAGATAATTTATTCCTTGAATGTCAAAGCTGACTTTTTGGCAGCCATCACTTCAGTCTTCACTGTCACATTATCCTTCAGAAATCATTCTACTATGCTGATATGCTGCTTAAGAAACATTTCTTATTATCAATGTGTAACAGTTGTGCAGCGTAATATTTTTGTGGAACACTGTTGTAAGAAAAATGATGAGGAGGACGATGAAGATCTCGATGAAGATGTTTATTGCAGCATAGCAGTGACAAAGTACATGTAGTACCTTGGGTTCAACGGAGTCGGAATGAACCACGAACATCCTAAGCTCAAACATTTTATACTCGATTACGTTCATCTTCCCGCTTCATCTTCCCGCACGTAAATGAAGTTTCGTCTTAAATGTAAATTGCGGATAACAATGAAAGTGATAGCCTTCCGTTCCCACATCTTTGGTAGACTTTCAGGTGGAAACAACCAAATGTTAAGGTGCAATTATATACCCTTTTGGTCAGCAGATGGTTCTTGATGGCCTACTGCCGCTCCCACGCTATAAGTGACGATTGACGAAGTAACGTTCAGGAGATACTATTTACATATTATTGAGATCGGAAAGAATTATCTCTATGATAATTAAGCTCTTTGTAGAGAAAGGAGAATAGTTTACTTGGAGTGGGAGTTTTGGTCAGGCAGACTATAATTTCTTACACTATGATACTTTTTTTCAGGATTGATTGAAAAGAAGAGAATACATTTGAAATAGAACTATTTTATAACATTTGATAAATTGAATGCATCCTTGCTGAATAAAAGTATTAACTCCTTTTCAATGATAGAGTATTGTTTTTGATTTCTTAAAGGGGTCATATGATGCGATTTCAAGTTTTCCTTTCTCTTGGAGTGTTACAAGCTGTTCATGAATAGATAAGATCCATAAAGTTGCAAAGAGTAAAGTCTCAAACCCAACAAGATATTCTTTATAAAAGTTAAGACTGGTCCACGCCTTCCTAAAACGCCTAGTTTAAACACATCCCCACATGTCTACGTCACGATGTGGGAAGATTTGCATAATGCCGCCCAAATGTTCACGCAAAGAAAGAAGGCGTAACTTTATTGTTGCTGCCACCGCCGCCGCCATGTTGTGAAGATGCTGTGTGTTTCTTTCCGAAAGCGAAAATACTTTGTTTGGCCTTCCAAAAGAGGACACGACTAGAAATCAGTGGTTAAGTTGTATTTACAACACTTTTCCTGAACACTTCAACCCAAATATTCAGATGTGTGCAGCACATTTTATGGAGGACTGTTTCCTGATCCTTGTATAGTAGACTACAATGCTGGCTGTTCTGACTCACAGCCTGTAAGTACGTTTTCATATTTAAAGAATTTGGCACTGATGATTCAAACGCGAGTTTTGAGCAGTGTAGAGTAGCACTCGTTGTTTTTCATTTCTCCGATCACAAATGCAGACATGGTTTTAAGTTGACAGTATAAATCATTATAATCTGTAATTATGTCACCACTGGATGCAAGAAATGCCTTAATGTTTTTGTCTCGTCGCTCTGGGACACGGCATCACAGTATGGTAAGGGGCGTAACATTTCCATCACACGCTTGAGGTATTCGGCCAATCACAACGCACTGGGTTGCTGGCCAATCAGAGCACACCTCGCTTTTCAGAATGATGAGCTTTGTAAAAAGTCGACGCGTTTCAGAAAGGCGGGGCATAGATGAGACACAATGTACAGTATGTGGAAAATAATGTGTTTTTTGAACGTTAAACCGCATAAACACATTTCATTACACCAAACCAAATACACAAAATAATGTTATTTTTAGCAACATCATATGACCCCTTTAACTAAATTTGATATTACAAAACTACACTACACCACCTTGACAGGCAAAAGCATTAAAGCTCAAAGTTTTGTGGGCCAATCATACAACTGTTCTGACTTAATTTTGATTGGGACTCAATTTCATAGTGGCATTGCAATGTGATTTGAAGTCCAAGCTTTCTGTAGGTTTTCACATTTTCAAGTTATTTACAAAACACATGGCACCAATTACAAAAGAAAAAAGTGCTCAGTCGTTCATATCGAGTATAAAGAAACTCTCCCTATAAAACCCTGTCACACAAATATTTGCTTACCAATAATCACCTCAGCCAAATTCTGTAATTATCATTAAAAGAGACTTAGAAGTTCCACACAGAGAGAGTTGGCTTCATTTGTACCAAACCATTACAAATGATTTTATAAACTCAAGATTCTCCAGGGCAAAAATCAGTCACAAAAACGTTTCTAATCTTTTAAACATTAGGGGAGAATAGAACAACCACTCTGACCCCAGCATCTGTTGAATCACAGCTAATTTACTATTATACTATTAAACTAATTTTATTCTTTGATCAATCAATACAAAGATAGCAATGTCACCAGATCCTGATCTGACCATCTGCATCTCCTCAGCCATAAACGCAGGGGCATAGCAATCACTATAACTGGGGAGGACATTCACATTCACATGAAATCACATTTTTAAGGGGGGTGAGCAATGAATTTCCCTTGTCTGAGGGGGTGAATGGACAATGGCAGGCTATGGACAGAAACTTACAGGCTTTATTTGCAGTCACCCAGAGAGGTTGTGTAGTCTACTAGTAAAATGATAAATAAATATAAGACTTAAAATAATTAAAACACATTCAGATGATTATTTGGGAAACGTTTTCATGGATATGACAACTCAATTATCAAAATGAATTCACTTTCTCATCATGACCTACATTGCAAATGCTGAGACAGAAGACTCAGATGCATGCAAAAACCTTAAAAAAAACAGACTAAGTAAGCTTGTCTTCAGCTGGTCTAGATGGCCAGCCAGATGCTGTCCGAGCCTGACCAGCTGACAAGTGTTTCAAAACAAGTCCAAGTTGGGAGACCAGCTAAGACCGGTGTCGTGCCGAAAATTGATCGTCTGCCAAAAAAAATTTTTTTTTACCTTTTTACCTGTTGAAATACCTTTAAATGACCAATAAAACCCATAAAATGCGGTTTTACACTTACCAAAAAATTATTACAGACTCTACTTATTGAGTGAACTGTTCTTTCTGCCTCAAAATGACTTGATTTCATTCATGGTTGTTATATTTGATAGATTATAGCTCATTCAGTCCTTTTTCTCTGTCTCCTTGTCTCTGGCACAGAGCCAGAGACAGACGTGTTTTTAAAGCACTGCACATTATAACCAATCCCATACGTTTCTGTTGAGCTTATGAATGCAAAGACCAATCAGAGGCATTCAGATGAGTCACCGCTGAAACACGCTGTTTCGCCACTGCGCACGCTGGCTGACTAAATTCTCTGGCCAATTCTCTCATCAGAAACAACAAAGTGAAGATGTACGAATGTAAGTAAAAGAAGTGGTAATGCATCACCTGAGTGATGTACCTAATGCTTTTCTGAACCTGATGGGCCTGGTGTACGCATTAAACCTCGACTACCCAAAGGAATTCAAATTCACATTTGAAGTGATACAGCGCCTGTTTATTGGAGTCGGGTCAGACTCTTGCACCACAAGAGTTCAGTCTTTGAAGAGCAAGTGGCTGCGATAAGACAGAAAACAAACAAACAAAAAAAATTGTTTCCCTTCTTGCTACTGTTCAAACGATGGGCTGGTTTAAAGGGGTCATATGATGCGATTTCAAGTTTTCCTTCTCTTGGAGTGTTACAAGCTGTTCATGAATAGATAAGATCCATAAAGTTGCAAAGAGTAAAGTCTCAAACCCAACAAGATATTCTTTATAAAAGTTAAGACTGGTCCACGCCTTCCTAAAATTCCCACATCTTTGGTAGACTTTCAGGTGGAAACAACCAAATGTTAAGGTGCAATTATATACCCTTTTGGTCAGCAGATGGTTCTTGATGGCCTACTGCCGCTCCCACGCTATAAGTGACGATTGACGAAGTAACGTTCAGGAGATACTATTTACATATTATTGAGATCGGAAAGAATTATCTCTATGATAATTAAGCTCTTTGTAGAGAAAGGAGAATAGTTTACTTGGAGTGGAAGTTTGGTCGAGGCAGACTATAAATTTCTTACACTATGATACTTTTTTCAGGATTGATTGAAAAGAAGAGAATACATTTGAAATAGAACTATTTTATAACATTTGATAAATTGAATGCATCCTTGCTGAATAAAAGTATTAACGCCTTTCAATGATAGAGTATTGTTTTTGATTTCTTAAAGGGGTCATATGATGCGATTTCAAGTTTTCCTTTCTCTTGGAGTGTTACAAGCTGTTCATGAATAGATAAGATCCATAAAGTTGCAAAGAGTAAAGTCTCAAACCCAACAAGATATTCTTTATAAAAGTTAAGACTGGTCCACGCCTTCCTAAAACGCCTAGTTTAAACACATCCCCACATGTCTACGTCACGATGTGGGAAGATTTGCATAATGCCGCCCAAATGTTCACGCAAAGAAAGAAGGCGTAACTTTATTGTTGCTGCCACCGCCGCCGCCATGTTGTGAAGATGCTGTGTGTTTCTTTCCGAAAGCGAAAATACTTTGTTTGGCCTTCCAAAAGAGGACACGACTAGAAATCAGTGGTTAAGTTGTATTTACAACACTTTTCCTGAACACTTCAACCCAAATATTCAGATGTGTGCAGCACATTTTATGGAGGACTGTTTCCTGATCCTTGTATAGTAGACTACAATGCTGGCTGTTCTGACTCACAGCCTGTAAGTACGTTTTCATATTTAAAGAATTTGGCACTGATGATTCAAACGCGAGTTTTGAGCAGTGTAGAGTAGCACTCGTTGTTTTTCATTTCTC